TTTTTTTTTTTTTTTTCTCATTTCAGAATTTAGATTCCTACCTGTCTTTCTGTTTTTACTTTGTATTTTCTTCTACACACATATCAGGGTAAAATCACTCCACCAGGGATAAAATCCTTGCATATAAGCTCCTGGTGTATGATGGATTTTGTTTTATATAACTGTAGAATTTGCTCCTGTAGTTAAAGATGCCAGGTTCATAGTTACCATCATTTGTCAGTAGCCAGGCTCTGCTTGAGCCTATTGTTGTTGTTAACTGTACTTCTTTAGCCAGGATATAATACCTGTTATAATCCATTTTTCTCCCTTGTATGACAACATTGTTATTATGCAGGGTCATAACCATCACCAGCGTCCAGTACCAAAGGAATTGGTGCTGAACTAAATAGAAAGCAACTTCCCATCTTTAATACTTTGGCAAGGTAGATTCCTTGGATAGACACCAAGACCCCGAAGCACCCGCAGCTAGACAACATCCCTGAGGAACAGACGTATGCTAGGGAAATGTTAATACTAGAGATGAAGCGATCTGCCATAATAAATGTGCAAGTTTCAACACTGAAAAAAAAGAATAAAAAATAGACAAAGAGGCAGTCTGATCTGAAGAACTTGGCTGTTGTGGCCTGTGGGACCTGCAGCCCTCTTGCCCTACCATGGCAGTTCCCAAGGCCCATGCCAACCACACTATTTATATCAATAACCTCAATGAGAAGATCAAGAAAGATGAGCTGAAGAAGTCCCTGTATGCCATCTTCTCCCAGTTTGCCCAAATCCTGGATATTCTGATATCTCAGAGCCTGAGGATGAAAGGACAGGCTTTTGTCATCTTCAAGGAGATCAGCAGTGCCACTAATGCCCTGCGCTCCATGCAAGGCTTCCCTTTCTACGACAAGCGGATACACATCCAGTAAGCCAAAACCGACTCGGATATCATTGCCAAGATGAAGGGTACTTTTGTGGAGCAGGACCACAAATGGGAGAAGAGGAAGCCCAAGAGTCAGGAGATGCCATCTGCCAAGAAGTCTGCAGGGTGGGGCAGCAGCCCCTGTGATGGGAGCTGCGCAGGGCCCTGTCCCGGGCCTGCCACACGTGACAAAGGCGCCCTACATCATGCACCACATGCCGGGCCAACCACCCTACATGCCACCTCCTGGCATGATCCAGCCTCCAGGCCTCACACCAGGCCAGATTCCTCCTTGGGCCATGGCCCCACAGCAGCTTATGCCAGGGCAGATGCCACCAGCCCAACCTCTTGGAGAATCCACCAAATCACATCCTGTTCCTGAACAACCTGCCAGAGGAGACCAATGAGCTCATGTTGTCCATGCTTTTCGACAGTTCCCTGGCTTCAAGGAGGTCCACCTGGTGCCTGGGTGGCATGATATTGCCTTCATGGAGTTTGACAACAAAGTGCAGACCAGGGCCGCTCATGATGCCCTGCAGGGCCTTAAGATCACCCAGAACAACGCCATGAAGATCTCCTTTACCAAGAAGTAGCACCTTTTCCCCAGGCCTTACCTTGCCTCTGCCCCCACCCCTGCTCTGGGGCTGCCCCTCCCCTCTTGGGCTCAATACCCAAAGGTAAGTCCCCTTTTGGGGGCCTTCTCTGAGCTGTATGTGAATGTGTGGTTGCTACACAGCATGATACCCAGAGTCTGTCCCCAGACATTGTACCTGGCGCTGTTAGGCTGAAGTTAAAGTGTTTTTTGAGGTGTGATTTTTCACACTAAAAAAAAAAAAAAAAGAGAGAGAGAAAGAAGGAAAAGAAAATGACAAGATGCAGAAATAAAATGTAATCCTAGACTCTCAGCCCACCCAGGACAAGTCAAGAACACAGTGAAATAGAGGAAAGTGGAAGCCAACAACCAGAACTTTCTGAAATGATAGCAATATAAGTGAAAAAAAAAATGGAAGAGGTTATAGGAAAAAAATAATCTCTAAGGTGCTAAAGCAAATGACAATCAAAATGAGGATATTAAAGCAGACACAGACAAAAACAGAGGAGCTTAGTAAGATAATAGGAACCATGAATGCCCAACAAAGAATTGGAATCCATGAAATAGATCCAAACAAAACTGCAGCGGATTATAAAACCCCATTGAGAGTATACACAACAGATTCAATAAGACAAGATAGAATATCAGATCTATAAGACAGTATTGTAGCAAGCAACCATGAAAAGAAATATATCATAAAAATAGCAAGACAGGGCTGGGGATATAGCTAAGCAGCACAATGTCTGCCTGGCATGTGAGAGGTCATGAGTTTGATTCCTGGTTAAAAAACAAAAAAAAACTGAAACTAAACAGCACAAGACTATGAAAAGTCAATCCCACAGCTATAAGATGAAGCAAAGAAGAACAAACTAAGATTGACTGGTGTCAGTAAGAAAGCTGGAAACAGAGCAAAAGCCATAAAATCTCTTCACAGAAATAATGGTAGACAACCTCCCAAATATAGATTAAGAAATTGACTTACAAATAAATAAGCCATATACAATTCTAAATAGCCATGACCAAAATAAGTCTACACCACGGCATATAATAATCAAGATTCCAGAAATTCTGCACAAGAACAAAATATTAAAAGTAGCTAGAGAAAAGAAACAATCTATAAAGAATCACATCAGAATCACAGCAAACTTCTCAACACATTTCACAGCAAACTTCTCAACACAAGACCTGTGTAGAATAAGTTAAGTCCTGAAAAAGAACAACCTCCAATTCAGATTGATGTACCTCTCAAACTGTCTTTCAAAATCAGTAGAGAAATAAGATACTTCCATTACAAAGCACAACTAAAGAAATTCATGACCACCAAACTAGCTCATCATAATTCTCTGAAGGATAGAATAGAAGAGAAAAAGCAGACCACAAACCAAGAACACCAGTAGAAAGAAGCTACCAGGTAGGGTGAACAAACAAAGGGGAAAGACAGGGAACCAACAAAAGGAAAATAAGATGAAAAAGATAAGCCAATAAATACGTTATAACCATCAATGTAAATGGTCTCAATTCACCAATCAAAAGAAACAGACTGGCTGAATGTATCAAGAAACAAAATCCAACAATATGCTGCATTTAGGGAACTCATTTAACTCAGAAAGAAATTCATAGGCTGAAAGCCAAAGGATATAAAACAATATTAGACTGGGCAATTGAGACTGGGCATGGTGGCGTGCGCCTGTAATCCCAGCTCTTGGGAGGCTGGAAACAGGTGGATCACTATAAGACTGATCTAGTAGTGAGATTCTGAACACCCTGTAGACCCTTCCCTAAAATACAGAAAGAGAGAGAGAGAGAGAGAGAGAGAGAGAGAGAGAGAGAGAGAGAGAGAGAACAATCATAAATATATCCATGCACCAAATACAAGTACACCCAGCTCATAAAACAAATATTAACACACAGGAAAAATCAAATAAGCGTGAGCACAACTGTAATGGAGGACCTTAAAATACTCCACCTTCACAATTATATAGATCAAGTAGACAAAAAAAAAATCAATAAACATCAGAATTAAACACCACCTGTGAACAAACAGACATAGTAGATGTTTATAGAATGTTCTGCCCTGCAACATCTGAATACACATTCTTCTCAGCTGCACATGGGATGTTCTTCAAAATAGAACACATAGTAGCCCATAAAACATGCATAAGTAAACACAGAGGAATCAAAATCACCCCATGCATATTATCTGACCATAGTGCAATGAAGATGGAAATCAATAGCAAAACAAACAACAAAAACCTACATAAACATGGAAATTAAATAGCACCTTCTTGTACAAACAATGGGTCTCAGAGAAAATTAAGGAAGAAATTAAGCAATATCTATAATTAAACAAGAATTCTGACACAACATACAAGAACATATGGGCTAAAGCAGTCCTGTGAGGAAATTTATAGGGATGTGCCCTCACATCAGGAAAACAAAACAAACTCAAATAAACAACTGAATGTTGAATCTCAGATTTCTAGGGGAAAAAAAGAAAAAATCAAACCCAACCCTCATCTGAGAGAAGAAATTATAAAAAAAGAGCAGAAATTAATGCAATTGAGATTAAGAAAATAATGCAAAGAATCAATGAATCATATAGTTGATTCTTTGAAAGACTGAATCAAACTGATAAACTCCTAGCCAATCTCATCAAAAAGAGGAAAGATTCAATCCATGCAATTACAAATAAAAAGGGGGAAATCAAATGTATTTTGCAGAAATTCAGAAAATCACCAGTATCTCCTTTGAGAACCTATATTGGTTTTTTGTTTGTTTGTTTGTTTGTTTGTTTGTTTTTGTTCTTGTTTTGGCTGGCTCAGCCCACCCTAAAGGCAGGGCTGGCATAGCATGTGGTGTTGGGGACCGAACCGCAGGCATTGGGTACTTGCCTAAGCTAGCCTAAGCAGGGGCTTTAGACTGCTGAACTATCTCGCCAGCTCCCAAGAACCTGTATTCTAACAAGATGGAAAACATAGAAGTGGACAGATTCCTAGACACATATGAATTTCCAAAGCTGGATCAAAAAGATATAAAAATTCTAAATAACCAAATATCAGTTAATGAAATTAAAAATGTAATTTAAAACTTATCAACAAAGAAAGCCCAGGTCTTGACAGATTAAGTGTTGAATTTTACAAGAAATTTAAGAGAAAAACTAAAACTCTTTAATGAAATTTAAGGGGAATCAATAATCCCAAAATCATTGCTGGAAGCAAGTATTACCCTGATACCAAAACTATGGAAGGACCCAACCAAATAGAGGCAAGGCAGGAGACATCATAATCCCTGATTTGAAATCATACTATGTAACTACAGTGATAAAAACAGCACGATGCTGGCAAAAGGAAAAAAACACCTAAGGTCAGTGGAACAAGTTAGAAGATACAGAAACAACTCCAAACACAGTCAGCCACCTTCTCTTTGACAATGGTGCCAAACATGTTGACCAGAGGAAAGAGCCTCTTTAATAAAAATGGTGCTGGAAAAACTGGCTTTCCACTTGCAAAACACAAAACTAGATCCATGTCTCCCACCATCCACTGAGCTACAATTGAAATGAGTCAAATATCTAAATATTAAAACAGGAACACTAAATCTGCCAAAGATTTAATGAACAAAAACCCTGATCACATGGGAAACATTATGTCGAATAACAACTGAGTTGCTATCCTATCGAAGAAATCACTATTAGAGGGAGACAGAGATATAGTTTAGCAGTACAGCTCCTGCCTGGGAAGAGCAAGGTCCTGAGTTCCATTTCCAGCACACACACACACACACACACACACACACACACACACACACAAAATTACCATTAGAGTGAAGAGACACCCCACAGGATAGGAGAAAAATTTGGTCATTTGTCCCTTAGACACATGACTTATATCTAAGGACACATACAAAATTGAAAAAAATCAGATCCCCCCAAATTCAAATATGCAATCCAAAAATGGGTATCTGAGGTGAATAAGCATTTGACACATGAAGAAATGCAAACACACAATTACATATATGAAAAAAAACTTCAACATCATTGGTCATTCAAGAGATGCAAATTAAAAAACACAGAGATTCTATCTCAGTAGAGAAAGAAGGGCTGTCATCAAGAAGTCAACTAATAACAAATGCTGAAGGAGCCGTAGGGAACAAGGAGCCCCTCTGTACTATTGATGGGAGTGCAGACCGATGCAACCACTATAATTATCAGTGTGGAGATTTCTCAAAAACTAGGATTAGAGGTCCCATTTGACCCAGCTATTCCCCATTTGGTTATCTTCCTGGAAGAATTAGAGACATCATACCATAACAGTATATGTTCATCCATGTTTATAGCAGCACAGTAAATCTTGGAAACCACCCAGATTTCTATCAACTGGGGAATGAGAACAGAGTGCTACTCAGCCATAAAAAAGAATAAACTAAGACATTTATAGGTAAATGGCTGCAACTGGAGACCCTACTCATAGGTGAAGTAAGTCAGACTCACATGTGGAAACACCTTATTGTCTCCCTGGCATGAGAAAGTAAATGGGGACCCAAGTGTACAACAGGTATGGGGAAATGAGAAGAAATTGTTCAAAAGGAAAGAGAAATGAGGGTGAGGGAAGGGGGAAAGGAAGGAAGGAAGGGAGAAGGAAGAAAGCAACATAGTTATACTACTAGTTTCTCCTAATTCATTAAAAAGAAAGGCTTGTTCTAATATCATTTGGGAAATTTTTTTATGCCCACATCTTATACTCTGAGTAACTACTTGGAAGATAACAACATGAAGCGTATTAGTTACTGTTATTTTCCTATTATTTTGTTGAGATTGTGTTTTCTTTTTCCCGTTTAAAAAATTCAACATTTGTTTATGGTAAAAACCCTGAAGAAAATGGATATAGAAAGATCTAATCTCAGTCTGTTAAAAACCACTTATGACAACCCTACTGCCAACATCATATCAAATGGGAAAACCTGACAGCATCCCTTCTGACAACAAGAACAAGACAATGACTCATATTTAATGCGCTCCTCAAAATATTAGCCAGAGCAACCAGGCAACATAAAGAAATAAAAGGGATAAAAACTGACAGTGTTCCTGTACACCAGTAATGAAATCACAAGAAAATAATTAGGAAAAAATGCAATTCTAACCTAACAAAGACAATGAAAGACCTCTACAAAGAAATCCACAGTACTCTGAAAACGGAGATAGGAAAGGACACAAGAAAACAGAAAGATACCTCCTGTTCTCGGCAGGCGAAACCAATATAATCAAAATGGCCATTCTTCAAAAACTGATATATAGATTTAATGCAATCCCAATCTAAATAACAGCAGCATTCTTCACAGAACTAGAGAAAAATGTCCTAAAATTCATGTGACACCAAAAGAGATTCAGAATAGCAAAAGAAATCCTGAGTAAAAAAACCACACCAGGAGTTTTCACAATCCAAGACTTCAAATTATATTACAGAGCCACACTGATAACAGTGTGGTACTGGCACATGCCTTAGTTATGTTTTTCTTGTTGCTGAAAAATAAACTCGGTAAAACTCTTGAAGATATACAATAGGCAAGTACCTTCTGAACAGAGACCAAGTAACACAAAAATAACACAAGAATCAAAAAGCTTCTGCCCAATCAAGAAAACAACACAGTAAAGGGACAAGCTATGACATGGAAATAAAAATGCAAAGAAATGAGAAAAGAAATTAGACCCATCAAAATAAAGGACACATAAAAAAGACAACTGAAATGAATAGATCCTTCTCAGAAAAAAAATACAAATGGCCAATAAATACATGAAAAGTGTTCAACTTCTCTGGCCATTAGAGTAGGAAATAGAGAGATAGAGGACCAAGAGATGGTGGAGGAAGGAGGTGTGAAAAAAGAACTTAGATGTGTGATATACATGTACCAGCTTGCAACAGGAAATATGATCAGGAGGTATTGCGAAGATGTACCAAATATGAAAAATTGACAAGAAAATGTACTGTTTGCTTTGGGAGCATTCTCAAAGATCTCAGAGTCTGTTTTTATTTACTAGGCTCTGTGTTAGACCTGGATTTGGGATAAGATGATTTAGCTCCACCTTCTGTATCCCATGAGCTTCTTCATTTAGATTCTCCTGCACTCTGTTTCGGTGTCTGCTTCATTAGAGAACCTACCATTGATCCCCAAGAAGCACTCTTTTGTTCTAGGTGTAGAAGGGAATTTCCGTAAGCTGAGAAAGCTGTCCGTCCTCCACACTGCTAGAACCTTCCATCTAAGCTAATTTCTCTTCCGCGTGAAGCACTCAGCACACGTTTTGCTTGGTGGTCAGTCTTCCTAGCCACTGTCTGACAATAGCCTCAGCTCACTTCAAAGGGTGTTTTCTCCTAAAAAGGTAGAGGGCCAGACATCTGTGCTCCATGTGGAAGACAGCATTCAACAGTCATTTGATTTGCACTTTTTAATGCAGGAATGACCATTTTTGGTGGTATTATTGTTCTTCTATAAAGATTCTGCTGGTTACTATGATGATTTCTATGTGGCTTACAAGAGTACCAGGAAGACACACTTTTCTTTTTACTGTCAATGCTGGGGCTGAGACTAGAAGCCCGCACAGCGGTATGGACCGAGTGCGGCACGTCCTGGACCAAGTTACAGAGCAGCCAGTGGTTGTGGCTTAGAATTTGAGTTTTTACCCAATTGTGTGAATCTGGGGCACATCTAATTTTTCTCTTTTCTCCTTTATTATTAGTATATGTTTGTAATTCATAATAAATGCATTCATGGTGTGTTACCACACACATACATGTCATATCTCGATCCCTCTTACTGCCCCTCCCCTCCCCTGCCCTCCTCTGACCTGTCCCTGCCTTGAGGTTTACTTTACATAAGAACAACACGTCATCCTGCTTATATGTGGTCTAGCATCATAACATTGAAGAACCAACAATGTGAAGCTGAGAAAAAGCCAAACAAGGCTGGCATTTGGACAGTTTCTCTCATTTTCTAAAGATTAGAAGCTGGGTGTGGTGGCCCATGCTTGTAATTCCAGCATTTGGGAGGCTGAGGCAGGAAGATCACTGTGAATTCTAGGTCAACCTGGACTGCATAGTATGACCTTGTCTCAAAACAAAACAACAAAAAAAATAGAATATACCCTGCGTATTCTGATGCTTGAGGATCAAAAAAGAGGCGAAGGCATTGCATGCACAGAAAGCATTAGGTTAATGGGAAGTTGTTCGCAACTATTATTAAAATGTTTTTATTAACAATTTGGGAAAGCTCTCCCTTTTGATATTTTAAAATTGCATGTGCTCTATTGCAGATATTGAATGTTTTCTTTGAATTCACTTGCTCTTGTTAATGATAGGCAAGTATTAAGATTCATGATTTTCATCTATGTGTAAATTACAGCAACCTGAAGTGTGGAAAATTAATATGTTTACATAATAAGAAAGAAATCCTCAGAAATAAGGAGGCCATTACTATTTATTCCAACATAAGTGGACAGATCTGCGTTGGTGCGGAATATGCTCTCAATCATAAAAATAAGGGGAAGATGTGGGTGCAGGACGGGACTGTGTGTGATACAGGAAAGGTGGGTAGTTTCTTCTCAAATAACTTCTGGGAGCCGGGGAGATGGTTCAGTAGAATAAGCGCTTCCTTGGCAAGCGCAAGGGCCTGAGTTCAATCCCTGGTTCTGCCTAAATAAATAACTTCTGAATACTTTATACCATAGTTTCTTTTGGGTTTGCTTTTATTGTTTTGTTTTGTTTTTGATATGGGGGTCTCAGGATGCAGCTTAGGCTGTCCTTGAACTCACCATGTAGCCCAGGCTGGCCTGGAACTCACAGTCAGTGATCCTCTTGCCTCAGCTTCTCAAGTGCTGGGATGACAGACCTGTGCCAGCACAGCTGGCACTTAGTACTGTATCCTTAAATGACATATATTTAATATTTTCTCATGGTTGAAATATATAGCCAGCATTAAAATTTGGAAAATAAGAAAAAGTTAATGAGCAAAGGTTCTGCCATCAGGCACAGGTGGTATTTCTGTGAACTTTTCATGGGCTACTTTGTTTTTTCTTATGAAAATTACACATATTCACTAAATGGAGAATTATACTGCTCATTCGTTGTATTTTCTTAAATTGCATCATGTTTCACAGTGAGTACTTTTAATGTCATGAATTATCTTTTGAAATAATTTTTCAAATGTACTTATCTTTAAGTTATTTTTAATAGTATGCATTTGTAGTACACAGCAATTACATTCATCTTGGGGACCCAGTCCATACACACAGTGCATCTGTCTGTCTCGGTTACTTTTTTCCCATTGCTGGGATGAGGTACCCAACACCCAAAATTAAGGCAGGAAAGGGTTTTTAGCTCAGTTTGTGATGGTTTCAGTCCATACTCAGCTGGCTGCTAGGCAGAGTGGCACATGGCAGAAGGCAGCAGTTCATGGTGGTGAAAAACAGCAAAACAGCAAGAGCGAAAGGGCAGGCGTGCTGGCGGCAATGGCAACAGAGAGCCCATCTATCTCCCTTAAGCTGCATTGAGGCTCTCTGCCCCAGGCTGGATGCAGCACTCATACCCATAGTCCCAGCAGCACTCACACCCATAGTCCCAGCAGCACTCACACCCATAGTCCCAGCAGCACTCACACCCATAGTCCCAGCAGCACTCACACCCATAATCCCAGCAGCACTCACACCCATAATCCCAGCACTGGATCATGAATTAATCACAAACTGTACACATCACAAACTGTACACATAACTGCAGGAGGCTTTGGGGGGCAACTAGAGACAATCCATAACAGCATCTTAATCATTTTTACTTAGACTCCTTTCCCTCCCCTCTCCACCCATCTCCACAAAATCCACCTTGTTTTTTATCATCTATTTTTCCCCTTTACTTATATTTAGGGGTTCTCACATAAGAGAAAACATGCAATTTTAATCTCTGTCTGACTTACTTCACTTAGCCGTAGTGTCTCCGAGTGATTCCATTTTTCCACAACTGACTCAAATGGAACCACATGGCACAGCATTGTGTGTGTATGCATCGCTGTTTTACGCCTCTGTACACTGATAGACCCACTGATTGCTACCAAGATAGAGCTCTTAGGAACCATACTCCTACAAGCATGGCTGTGCATGGATATTGTAATACAATGTCTTCAGCTTTCACTGGAAGATAACCAGAAGAGGTATAGCTCGGTCAAATGGAATTGCTACTTTTAACTTTTTGAGGCATCAGCATCCTCATTTCCATAATGGTTGTTTTTAGTTGTTAAAATGTTATGTGCCTGTTTTACACATGGAAACAGTAAAGATTCACATAGTAAAACAAACACATATACATATCTGAGATATAATTATATGACCATTCTGGTGAACATGCTTTCTACCTGTTTACTTACATACATGTATGCACAGATATAAGCTATTTTCTAACTAATAATTGTATGTGTTCATCGGTATAATGTTCCAAAATACATAGACATTTGTGTAATGATCAAAGCAGAGGAAGTAGCATACCCATCACTTTAAATATTTATCATCGACTCATTGTGAGAGTACTCAAATCCCACTTGAAAAATATAACACATAGCTAGAGTCCCCCTCCTCTGAACATGAATCTGCATGCCATCCTTGCGCAGGGGCCGCGCTCATCTCCTCTGTATCGTTCTGATTTTAGTGTACGCGTTGCTGAAGTGAGCTCTGCAATTGGGGACCAGAATGCGCTCCTCCTTTCTAACAGTAACATTGTACCTGTTGACCAAACCTCCATCTCACCCTTCCCATACTGTCTCCAGCCACTGGTAACCACTCTCTAATCTCAACTTCCTTCTAACATTTTCAGATTCACATACGGTAAGATTACATGGAACTTCTGTGCCTGGCATATTGCATTTAACATAGTGTCTCCCCTGCTTATTCATGTTGCCACAAAGGGATTATTTCACTCTTTTTATGACTAACTTGTATTCCGTCATCTGTATACGCCACATATCTTTATCCATTAATCCATGTTAGGCATTTAAGTTTAATTCAGTCTGTTGGATAGTGGATACCATGGGTGATGCTGCAACGCACAAGAGAGTATGCATCTATTTGATTTATGGATTTTATTTTTCATTTGAGAATAATCTTGAATCAAATTCAGTGATTAGGTTTAGGATTGACTTTATGGGAAAATTTGATTTAGTTTTTGTCCAATTCAGTTTGTGACAAGAATCACGGAAAAACATTAAATTCATGAACAAAGGTGGAGATACAGATTTAGACAGACAGACAGACAGACAGACAGACAGACAGACAGACAGAGACAGAGACACAGACAGAGATAGAAGTAAAGAGATCCAATAGGGAAGTTACTGGCTCTTATGGTAGTTGTAATTTATTTTGGGTCAGAGTAAGAAGCTTCATATTGCTTTCCAGAACTGGTGTACTAATTTTCATTTCCACAAGCAGTATATAAGGACTCACCCTTTCACCACATCTTCACTAATTTTTGCTACTGTTTTTTGTCTTTTTGATGGTAGCCATAGTAGGGGATGTTTTAAATTAAATGACAAATCTAGATAGAATATCAATGAGCTTATTTTGACTTATTCCTTTCTTTTAGGTTTGTAGGAATAAACAATGTGTAGATGATACATACTTAGGTTATGACTGCACACCACAGACCTGCAACAATAACGGCGTAAGTACTTATCCTGGGAGGTTAGCAATCACTTAGCCTACTGCAAAGAAAGCAAATGTGTGTACACAGGCTGGTACACATACACATGCACACACGCACACACACACACACATGCACACACGCACACATGCACGCAGAAGCGTGTGCACACACCCTCATGTACACACATACATACTCATCAATCAAGTAGGAAAATTGGTTTTATTTTACCTAAGAACCATTTCACAATTCTTGAACACACATAGATCCAGGCGCTGATCTTAGAAGACGATGTTCTCCTGCTTTCAGGTATGCAATAACAAAAAGCAATGTCACTGTGATCCCCCATTCGCACCACCAAACTGCGAGAATGCAGTTGGATCATCGATTGGTGGGAGTGTGGACAGCGCACGGCTCGAACCATTCCCTGGTGAGTATTAATCACAGATGGAAACATAGAAAACATCATTTTAATTCATTAAGTTTAAAAACTTTGGCATACCAATTTATATTCAGATTATCTCTAAGCATCAAATAATAAACCACATATGGCCATTTACAATGAACATATAGAGAGTATATGTGACACACACACATATACATACAAGATCAGTTAGAGCCTAGGTAAGAAATCATAACTCAGGTTGGACCTTGAAGGAAGGAAGTCGATACGAGGCATCAGGTAACAAAATGGGAGAAATGAAAAACAACCAGAAAATGATGATAACTAGATATTAACAACAGGAAACTACCAAGGGCTGGAGTGACAATAAAAGGAGATGATCAGGGCTGGCCAAATAGCTTAGTGATTAAAGCGCCTGCAAGCAGGCACAGGGGCTGGGGGTTGGATCTCCGGGCCTGCTATGATGCGCTGAGACAGTGACTGAGACTGAGCGTGGTGGCAAGCACCTGTAATCCCAGCACTTGGGAGGCTGTAAACAGGAGGATCACTACAAGTCAGATCTAGTAGTAAGACCCTGAATACCCAGTAGACCCTTCCCTAACATACAGAAATAAATGAATAAATAAATAAAAGGAGGTGATATCACTAGAACTAGAACCTGAACATGACATCTGACCAAGGTCAGAGCTGGGGAATAGGTACTATTCGAGTCAGCTGGAGGTTTAAAAGATATGGGAGTATACCTCAGCATCACAGCGCCTTCCTGGCAAGTGTGAGGTCCTTCGATTCCCAGTACCAAAAATAAAGATCTAGTCACTATTGGCCATGCTAAGCAAGAGGGGGGAGAAATGCCATAGCTATTCCACTCTGCCAATTCTACAGTGTCTATCTAGTGATGGATTTAGCAGACCTAACTAGAGGAGAGTAAGCCAAGGAGCTTGGTCAATACAGCTGTCTGCAATATTGATCAAAGTAAGGACAGAGTTTAGAAAAAGCCAGTAATGAATCAGAATCTGCAGTAGCAGTTAGGATCAGGCAATTTTTTTTCATATGTTAGTTGTAAGAGTTGCAGTTAGTTTCTTCTGCCCATGCACACAGGCATCCTTTACCCAAGCAGCAATGGGAGCTGTGCTCCTAGCATACACGTTGGTCTTAGTGATATGTTTGATCAACAACTTGGGCAAAAGCGACCTTCTGTCTTTCAGATTCTGACTGGGTCTCTTGGGTAGCTTATTCTGGGAGCACTCATTCCTTTGAAATTTATTTGCAATGCATAAAAAATAACTATACCTAGACACCAAAATATAACCTCTCCACAATAAAGCTTTACCTAAATGCATGTCCCACAAACTTGCAAGCAAAGTTAAATGATTAATCTAAGTAACTAAACTTGGGAGTAATTTCTTACACAGCAACATATAGAAGCCTGGGTAGTGCATTTCTGTAATGAATGTAAGGCTTATGGCCTTTACTTTGGAACTGGTCAGTCCATGGAAGGTATCTAGGGCTCCCAGAGGCTCTTAAAGACAAGTTGAAATTCTACTGAGAAGGTTTTTCAGTGAGCAATTCAAGGATGGTTTAAAAAGGTATTAGTTTCACGCACCTACAATATTTAAGTGGAAATGGAATACCCATCTCTAACAAAACTAAACAAAAAAGGGGGATACAAATGAAGGAGCATTCTGTATCTGTATATACAAAATAGGTAGGAGAGATATACAGTTACTTTCTCTTAATTCAATAAAAAGAAAGTTTTGTACTAATAGTGTTTGGACAGGATATCCTGTCCGCATCTTGTACTATGAATAACTACTATGAAGACAACAATATGCAATGTATTAATTATTGTAACTGTCCTACTCACCTGTTTTGAAACTCTCTCATTGCTATTCATTTCTCAATAAAATTAATTAAAAAGGTATTAGTAGTAGTTAGAAAAAGTGGAACACTTACTATGAAGTGATCAAGTGTTTGACAGCATTGTAGCCTGTGCTAATGTAGAAGGTGAAACTCGTGCTTCCTTTTGGTAGCAAATAAAATGCAGGTTAAATATAAGACAGCTAGGGTGTAGGTAGAAGCAGGATAACAATCAAGTTGATTTTCCTTCTTGGGAAGGAAAGAAAAAGAATATTTTCCAACAAATATTTCATGACAAATGGCTACCAGCAAATTTGAGATTTTATTTTAGTAATAAAGTTCTATCTCAGAATAAAATATATATCAAGCATTTTCCTATGATTTCCTCTATTAGAACTTAATAAAATTTTAAATGAATGTCTGGCAGAGACATCTTCATATATACAAAAGGCCTAAATGTTTTGTGGAAACAGCTCCTAAGAATTCACCCACAAGATGTCTGTGAAGCGTGTTAAGCAGATTTTTCCATAGCAGCCTTACTAAGGCATAGCACAGGGAAAAGCTTGTGTCAAGCAGGCTTGTGAGAATGGCCTTCATATACGAGAGAGAGTTTTGGGACATTTCTTGTGAAATGTGGATGAACAACCAAAGAGCAGAAACAATAAGCCAGACACTAAAACTTTTGAAGGTCGATGGCATAGAAAACCCACTACCAACATAGACAAGCAAACTATAGTCCAGATAGTGAGTGAAACCACATTTCTGCAGAAAAAAATGCTGTTTAAAAAAAAAATGCTAGTGGGGAAAGACTCATCAATGCATTTTATGAGGAAAATGTATCTTTGATGTCAAATTCAGACAGTCAAACTAACAGAAAAAAAAAAATCACCAAGTATGTCCTTTATGAACAAAGTCCCCAACCCCAACAAAACAGTAGCTCATATTCTTTAGCTGTCTATATTAAAACACAATGATCCAGACCAGTGCGATTCTTTAGCATTCAAAAATCAATCAGGGGCTGGAGAGACAGCTCAGTGGAATAAGGTCCTGAGTTTGATCCCTGGTACTACCAAAAAAAAAAAAAGTCAATCTGTATAAAGTGGGAGCAAGGCAATAAAGCCTGCGTTCCCTCCCTAGCTCGTGCATCAAAGAAATGACAGCAAAGGGGAAGCGAAAAGATGAGGAAAGGTAAACTGAGGCTGCTTTTATCATCGCTGATGTGGCCGAGTGCATAGAAAATCCTGAGGAATGTACAGAAACACCCCTGCAAGCAATAAGCGCCTCTTGAGAGAAAGCAGAAATCACCGGGGTATAACAATCAGTTGTGCTGCTATAGAAGAGGAAGAGTGAACAGCAGTCAACCTAATAGCAGTGCTCGGGCAGCCAAATAGCTCAGCGGATTAAAGCATCTGCTTAGGCAGACGTAGCAGCCAGGGCTTGATCCCCAGCGTGTCTTGCCAGCCCCGCCCCCCCGAGCGTGCTCAGACAGCGATTGAGACTGGGCCTGTGTGGTGGTGCGTGCCTGTAATCCCAGCTCTTGGGAGGCTGAACACAGGCGGAGCACTATGAGTCCAATCTGTGCAGTGAGACCCTGGAGACCCTGTCCTAAAATACAAAAAAAAATAATATTTAACACCAAAATAAATGGGAAAACAGGACCTGTCACCCACTAGAAGGCTTGTGATTGCTAAGATGTCAATCGCCACCAAATTAACTGTGCATTTTATTTAATATATATAATGCAAATTTATGCATTACATATGTACCATATTAATGATAAATAGATCATACCCTATGTTAATTCTATAACAAAAGCCTATAGATTAAAAATACTAATGAAAATAGACACAGCTGTTCAGAAATTAACAATTTGGTTCTAACATACACACAAAAATTCTTACAAGAGTCAAATCACTTTGAAAAAAGAGCAGGAGAAAGACTTAGTCTATTGGCCTGATATTGAATTTACTAAATTGCTTTATATTACAAATTCAGTACATAATTCTACTAACTGAGACAGTGTGGCGTTGGCAAAGGTTAGATGCACAAATATATCAACAGAATGGAATAGAAGTTTAGAAATGGGCATATTAAAAATGATTAATTGATTTTTCAGTAAGATTTGAAGGTAATGAGGGAAGAAAGTCCATTCGAAGTGCAACACTGAAGCGAATGGCTATCTGCATAAGTCCAAATGAACCACAGCATCCCGACCGGTTACCAGTCGATGGGAAGTGGCTTATAAATCAAATGTAGAGGCTAAGACTATAAATTTTCTAGCAGTAGCATGACATTCACGACCTTAGGATAAGCAACCATTTCTTAGACAAGACATGAAAGTAAATATTAATGCAATAAAACACAGTTTAGACCTAATCAAAATGTTCTACGTGCAGTGATTTTTGACTAAAACTTTCATTTGAATAGAAATTGCACTTAGTGCTGTTCATCTGTAGTATGGACTGCCAAGGAGACATTTCTCAAAGAAAAAGCGAGGGTTAGGGCTATTAGGTAGGCACTAAAAGAGTTTGTTTTTGTACTTTCTCTGTCAAGTTATCTTCTTCATTTAAAATCTTGGTAAGTATAAAAGCATTGAAGGGTTTACATTTTTACTGTAGGACTCCTAATAAAATGTAGAACTGTCTTTCATGAATTCCTGGTCTTCTAATTGATCTCTGGTGTTTTTTCTCTCCTAGAAAAGAACATCATTGAGGGTGTTTACCATACCAAGCCTAAAAAGTGGCCATTTTTCTTGCTCATTCCTTTTTTCATTATTTTATCTGTACTGGTTGTTATATTGGTAAAAGTCTATTACCAAAGGAAAAAATGGAGAGCTGAAGACTATATGAGTGATGAGTATGTTGATTTCACATTAAGTTTTATTACTTTTATAATTTTTGGTATAATAACTTACAGCATCATGATAAATATCAAAAATAATAATTCAGATTTAACTTTGTTTCTGTATAGAAATTTAGCAGTTATCATGTTAATAATTAATGTAATGAATAATCAGTAGAAATCAACTGTTTTAATCTGATAAAGACTTGGAGCTGGGTGTGGTAACATAGGCCTATAATCCCAGCACTCTGGGAGGATGAGGCAGGAGGATCTAAAGTTTGAGGCAGGATATGTAGCTCAGCAACTTAGGGAGACCCTGTCTCAAAATAAACACTAACTGGGCCAGGCATGGTGGTAAAACCTGTCATCCCAGCAATCTGGAGGCTGAGGAAGGAGGGCCACACACACCACGTTCAAGGCCAGCCTGGCCTGGTCAGTTGGAGGCCAGTCTGGACTACACAGAAAGAGTCTCTCTAATTAACAAACAAAAACAATCCCTCTTCAAAAAAAAAAAAAAAAAAAAGAACATATGCTATTAGATACAATTGGTATAATTTTCATGAAAATTTCTGTAAGCCAGGGAAATAGCTCAGTAGAACAAGCGCCTGCCTGGCAAGCACGAAGTCCTGAGTTCATTCCTGGTACAGCAAAACAAAGACACAAAAACAAATTCTGTAAAATAATTTCTGCCCTTGAATTTTATACCTATGCCTTTTGTTTTACTTAAAATGAATTTGAATTTCACTAAATGAAGTAATAAGACAATGTGCATGGACTATATAATTCATGGGTATATGTCAAGAAGTTCATGTAAAATTGTGGCTATATTTTACCATGCTATGTAACATAGAATAGTTAATAATTTTAAGTATGCTTTACTAACACTTAAATATGTCACAGATTTTACATTAGGTAACTTTATTGTGGAGAAACCAAGTAACTGTAGGGGAAAATAAGGTTGGAAATATAGGAGAAAGCTGAAAAACATTTCATCAATAACATTTTGAGTATGAAATGATTTGGCCCTCGGATATTGCCACTCTAGCTGTCTTTCTGAGAGTTAGCGACAGCGCGGTATGGGACACATGCTCACGGCAGCTGGCTCTTGGACGAGGCCTGTCTGTCCTTCATCAAACGAAGGGATAATGAAAATACGGCATTTCTGTTCAGCAGAGTACTGCTTTGCCGAAATTAAAGATAAATCTGACTCTTATATAGGAAAATGGATGCGACTTGAGATCAAGATGTTAGGGGAGGTAAAGCAGACCACACAAGCTGCAATCGCACAGGAGGTGGTTCTACGAGAGCCTGAAAGTATAAATAAGTGAAATAACCAAATAAAAGGTGGATAATAGGAAACAGGATCTGTGACAGGGGAGGAGACTTAAGCGATGGCGGCGGCAAGGGAGGGGATATGAAAAGAATTGAGACGTGTTATGTCCGTGTACCCGCAGCCCACTGGGGGACACTCGTCCCGCGCTACGCACGGGCTCTAACAGACAGCAGGGAAGGAGACCGATGTGAGCGTGTGCAGGAGCCCTCCTCCGGGCGGCGCAGG